ACGTTAGCGGCAAGGGTTCCAGCGACCGCGGGAAGAGTCCTTGGAAGCGGAGCGGCGACTCAGCGAGGGTTCCAGTTGGCCACAGAGGTACCCCAGCCCCAGACCTTTCCACTGACAAGGTGTTTCCAGCCTGAAGCCGCCCTGCAGGCTCAGCGTCCATCTAGTAACGTACTTCACCGCGCCGAGAACCTGATCTCAGTATCTGCCCGCATGTTGGGAGGATTAGACGGCTGATGAGTAGAGCCTGCTAGCTGTCCTTTAACAGTACGTATAAACAGAAGTATGACTGGAGCTCCAAACATGCTAGGCACTCTGGAATACCAGAGGAAGTGGAAAGACAGGCAATTTCTAGCAGAGGCTAAGACAGACCATTAGCACAGGAGTACACCCGCCTGAACTGAAACCTGCCTCTTCCAAGTATCTGTGGACTCGAGTCAGTTTCTTCATCCACCTTGCTTTCTTGCCTCATCTCTGAAATTGTGTAATGATTAAAAAGGAGATACAAGAATTAGAGTTATTATGTTTACATATTTTAGTTGTCTGACAGTGTCCGACAATGCAGAGTACTCAGTAATTAGTTTTAATTACTTTTAATATTTGATAGTTTATGTTTCTCCAAGCTCACTATCTGACCCCCATATGATTTTATTGTGGTTATTCCTGGAAATCCTGGCATGGCCACTTCCTGGTTCCAGGAACAGGCACTCACTTTTTTCTCCTAGTTTAGCAATTTGAGAAACATGGTTTGTACAGGAATCACTTGTATGTCTTAGTGTGAAGTGTGAAGTTGATTCAGGATTCACCTTTTCTTCCTTGAAATTTTTTAACATCATAACTTTCTCTTAATACCGCCCTGGCAAGTATAACAACTGTAGGTCTTTGAACACTTGGCACAAACACAAGGAAGTGAGAAAGGAATTGAAGGGATTTTCTGCAGCTGGTAGAAAAGTGGCATGGAAAATAAATGGCTAGGTTGTAGACTAAGCAGCCCTCGGCTATGTAAGGGAGCTGTTCTTTCTGACTGAAAGGAATGAAACCATACTGTATACATTATTGAGTCAGCAAGCACATGCCGTCAGACAAAAACAAACTGCTCTGGCCTGGAATTCAGGTAGAGACATTAAATGTGTAAGAACTGTCCCCTGTACACCTCTCCATGCTCATGTCTAATGATCTCTCCCTCTTTGGCTCTGTAACCCACAAACCTTTCATTCCCTTGAATGAGCAAAGCTGCCTCCAGCTACAGGACTTCTATCTGCACAGTTCCCCTCTGTCCCTAATGCCTCACTCTCCCCTGGACCCCATACCCCAAACACCTCTGTTCCACCACCATCGACATTACTGCCCCTGTAACTCTTAGAGCACCATTAATTTTCTTCATAGAACTTGAGTCCCTGTAATAATGTATTGTCAATTGTCATTTTGTTTTAGTGCATTATGTGCTTTATACCTTCAGTCAACGTTCTTTGAAAAAGGCATGTGACTTTATATACATACTTATAAATGTATATGTGCTTTTTATGTGTGTGTGTATACACACTGTTGCACTTTCTTGAATAACTCTAAATTTAAAAAGCCAAAGCACAGTAGTTCATCAGTATTAACAACTGTATTTTTCATTTCCCAAATTTTGAATTCAATAAATGTTTACAAAAAACTCTTGCCCAGCCTAGTAAAACCAAAGTGGCCTCTGGTACTTTTGAAATTCATGCTTTTTGCCTTACATAAGAAACCTGCCATAAAAATAGTCTTTCAAAAATTTTACGAAAACTTGACAATTTGTGAGAATGTCTTTTTTCAGTAAGCCAAGGATATGAATGCAAAGGACATGAGGCATGAATGATTTTCATTGAACTAGTTAGTGAACTGTATAACACATTAGGCAGATATTAATCTCTCTAGGTTTATGTCATTTATAAGGAGGAAAGGAAGCCATTCAAATTTGTGAGGGAGCTCTGAGTTGTCAGGAAAGGCTTTTCAGGAGTAATAAAGCCAACAAATGAGGCTAACTAACATAAAGTTCTTCTCTGGTTTATTTGTTAGTTTTGTAGAACACTTGACAGTCACTCTCTCAATTGGTCCCAATTGGTGTAATATCTGCTTTTTTCAACTAGATTACTTGAAAAAAAAATAGCATTACTATAAAATGCTATCCTAACATGGTTCTGAGCATATTTGTTTTATTTTTTTAAACCTAAAGTACAGGAGTGGATTTTTATAGGAAGATACCCTGTTACCAGGTACTTTGACTTACCAATCGGCTTCAGCCACCCCACATCCATGCCCTATGTTGTATGTGTGGTATCCTGGTGTCCACAAATGCTCACGAACATCTTGGCCCGCCTATTTGTGAAAACACACCTGTTTTTGCACTCCTTATCTTTTAACAAATCACAGTTCAATAGATGAAATGTTTTTGTCGATAGATGTTTAGTAAACCTTTATATGACACAAAAGTTACCTACAAACATAAGCTGAACAAATGGAAGTTACTTCGTCTGTGACTTATTTCAGCCGGTGTCGGGATCTCCATTCCCCTTCATTCCCCCATTCCCCTACTCATGTCATTCTCACTTATTCATAGGGAGTTAGGGACAGAGAAATCTCTGATTGTTTTGAGAGTGGTAAAATTTTGCTAAAATAATTCAGAACATATATCCCCATCTGGAGACTCTGAGAAAAATGTTAACTGGTTTGTTTTTAGGCAATTAAGAATTAAACCTGAATAAATAATCCAAATGTACTTTATGCCTAGTTTATAAACACAGTTGATTTAGAATATTCCAAAATTAGGGATGCTTCCCTTGGAGTCCAGGTTTTACATTACTTTTTCAAATGCTTTTTGAAAACAGTAAGATAAAAATTTCCAGACCCCAAGAGATGGGTCGGAAGGTTTCACTGTAGTATGCATTATGGAGCTCTAACTGGATATCATGGGCACTATTTCTCTTTCTGTCTGCTGGTTGAGGTTACAATTATCAAGTAGCCCAGATCAGCAAAGGGTCTTACAGTGGTTGGTATATGATGCTTTACTCTCCTCAGAAGTTCCTCTTCAACAGGGTTCGGAAGAAGTGTGTAATAATCAGATTATAATTTGAAGTTGTGTATTTGTTTTGAACTAATGAGTCCAGTGGTAAAATATATAACATGACTTTGTTAGAGCCTTTTTTTTGTATAGGACAAGTATGATTTTCTCTATTTTAGAAGTCTTTCTGGGATTTGTCTCTTACTATGAGTAGTGGGAGGCATTATTTAAAGTAGCATTATCATGTTCATTAATTAGCTTATTAGTTCACCCAGGACTCAGCCCAATTTCCAAAACTGAGTGACATTCTGTCTCGTAGTAAGTCCATTAAGTTTGAGAAATCAGAACAGCCTTAAAAGAGCAGATATGAGTGGACAGGGATAAACATGGTGGAAAGCTTTATTCCACAAGTGCTTTATTCGACCTAGCATTCATACAGATACAACTGTCACCTAACGTTTTGCACCGAATCTGATGACATACCATTTTTCATGCTTGAAATATTATGTAATTGTGAAAATTTCCAAACCTCCAAGAAAGCAAGGACCCAGATTTTGTTCTTCAGTAGTTTGCTCAACAGATACTTATTCTCACAAACGTATAGTTTAAGACTCAAAATAATGTAGTCAAATAAGAAGAAAAAGAGCAAATAATGAACAAAGGAGCTCTGTTTTAAAGTCTGCTTAGTTTCTCTTCCTTGGAATTTTGTGCAAAGATTCTATGAAAGATAAATATTCTTGTATTCGTAATTGGTAGCCATTTGACAAAGGATAGAGCATATAGAGCTGAAATGCCTACATCCGTTGCTTAAACCCAACATCGGTTCTTAGTGTGAAGCATGTTGATGAATTCCCTCTCTTTCTGGCACATCCTTTCTTTCTGACTGGCACTGGATTTACCAGGCTCAAATGACTCAATATTAAGAAAAAAATATTTTTCATTAAAACATTTTAATTTTTAAAAATAAAAAAGTATTTTTTAAGTTATTTGAAAATAATCCCCACACACACATGGGGGTACTTACTTGTGTTCCTCCTCTGAGTATTATTGACACTTTGTCCTTGAAATGGGTGCCTTTCTGACATTGTAGGCAAGGGGAGAATAATGGAAACAATATACCTTAAAGCTGCTATTTAACTGGTTAAAGGTCATAGAATATTTTTTGTTTAAGCATATTACAGAGTGGTGTCTTTCGAGCAACAGAGGGCAGATTGAAAACTTCAGAGATGTTTAGTCCAGCATATTAATTAAGGTATACTACCTATTTCTACTCCAGAAAGTCAGCTTTTTAATTTTACATATATATCTATCTGTTAAAGTATTCTTGCAGGTATAGATTTTAATGTATAATCTCAGATCATGTTGACAAAAGTAATCATGGCATTTGGTATGTACATAAGAATTTAGTCTCCTTTTATAGTTCCCCTATAATAGAACCTAAAACATGAATGTGGCCTATGAAAGCTTTTAGCCAACTTTGGGTACCTATGCTTAGCTTATTGGTCATCTTATAAATTATCATAAAAACATACACTTTAATTTTTTTGCCCTTATATCCTGCGTATCTCCAGAGCAGTTGGTTTCTGAGTAGAAAACTCAGCTTACTATTATCCTAAGAAAATTCAGAAAGTCAAATTGGTAACTCAAATTTTTTTGCTTTGTTCTAAGTCCAGGTAAACCCATTCTGAAATTATTTAACCATTGCTGAACTTCTTAAGTATATATAATTAAGAGGTGACTATAATTGAAATGTTCTTTAGAGTTTTACTAGATTATGAAATTTCTTTCTTAAAGTAGGCAATGATAAAGAAATCAAAGGAGAGGAGGGGTGTGGTTTCCTCTTTAAACATATTTTAGATAAGGATATAGAGGCATCAGTTGATTTTATTTACCATTTAGGATGACCCAGTAGGACGAGTTAGTAAAGGGGCAGCATGACCCGAGAGGGCCCGGAAAGGGCAGGAATGATTCATACTGGTGTGTGTTTCCAAGATAAAAGAGGTAAGAGTTTTTGCCTCATGTGTAAATTAAAATTAACAGGCATATATATAGGGAGTTGGGATTTCAAGTGCAAAGATGGGGAAAGTAGTGACAGGTGGTAGTGAGAAAGTGTTTGATGGGATCAAGGCCCAGGAAGGCAGAAGTACTGAGTTCACTGTTTATTATTTTTCTGTCCTTGAAATGAGTGCACAAAGTTTTGGTTGGATTGTCATGGTGCTACAACTATAACAACTCCTGAGAGTGGGTTCTCTGGCTAAAAGTATGTTTTGAAGCATAAGCAAAGGATCATGCCTTTACAAATATACTGTCCAAGTGGGGCAGAACATGTCCACAGAACCTGGAATCTGGAGATACTTGCCGTAGTGTGGCCTGATAGGTAATCTGTCTGTGCATCCTGCTGAACCATGCCTGGAGCCCAGCTCTGAGGCCGGGTGCTGGAAAATATGCTCCCTTTACACTGTGTAGGTTGAAAGACTCAGTTTTTGTTTTTTTCTTCACCCCCCCCCCC